GGAAACGGTGGGCGCAGCCTCAACTGGAACAACAACACACAAGACACCTGGGGGACATACAGTGCCGAATGAGGCCCCACAATCGTCCCCCTGTCTGACACCCGGCGTGATAGATTGTGGCGCTGTGCCCCCTTCGCTCGCTGTGCGACGCCCGCTGGCTGCAGGCTTCTAGGGCCCGCTGGACGCTCGGACTGGCTCCAGGCGCAGGCGGGGGAGAGACCAGAATCTTGTTCCCCAACCCTTCTGAGAAATTGGGTTACCGCCTCCTCTATCCTCACCCGTCCCTGCTCCCTTCCTGCTGCTGCTTCTGCGGTGCGTCCTGCTGCTGCTGCTGCCGCTTCTGCTGTCGCTGCTGCAGTTGCGCCGCCTGCTGTGTGCTCTTCGGTACACCTCTCATGAGTATCGTCCCCACATATTGCGCCACCTACGACCCTAAGTTGGCAAGGACGCATGCCGCCCAATGGCCCGCACCCCAAATCGGCACGCCCATCATACAAAACATGTCGGCCTCAGCTCGCCATCGCTCGGACGTCCATTGCCCGTGCACTTTTCGATTTCGTGCGCATATTGTTTCGAAAGGTGCTCCAAGATACTCCTCGAAAGGTCTCGCCGAGGAACAAAAATGCACACGTCCGGGCGATGCCAAACCAGCGGGCAAGGCCGCATGCGGGCCTCCGCCGATCCTGGCGGAACCCCCACGCGCATCGCGCCCACGGGAGCTCCCCCAAAGGGTGAGTGGGCGCGCGTTCGCATGCAGGCTCCCGCCTGATTCGTCGCACCCTCGCACGTGGATCGTGCCCCTCAGTGGGCGCGTTCGCATGCGGGCCCCCGCCGATTTTGGCACAAACCCTTGCGGGGATCGTGGCTCACAGGGCATTCGACGCGCCTTGGCGCGCTTGTTCCATGGTCCTCTCCTCGCACCGCCCCGCGAGGCGCAGCGCAGAAGCGAGGACCACGGCCTGCGCTGCACGCGCGGTATAACGTTAGGGCATTCGCCAGGCTATCCGCTTCAACAGCAAGCAACCCCCAAAGACCCACACCAATCACAAAAGCCAGTTGGCAAATAGTTGGACCTCGTAGTTCTGGCAACACCTGGCTTGAAAGAAGACGACCCATCAATGCTGAACGCCCAAACTATGGAACGCAATCTTGGTATTGGTGGACCCACGGCCCTGCCCACACCACGACCTGGAGCATGCTCCAAGAGGGTGTCTGGCCAGCTCCACAAAGGCATCGGCGAAAGTGTGAGGCAGCAGCGCGGCACCTCCAATGAATCCAGTGCCGAGCTGCGCGTCTAGAGGCTGGGAGCCCGAAGCCTCTGCTTCCCAAGCCTTGCGCTCGACCCGAGGATCGAGGATGGAGGCGCGTTTGTGTGTGCGTGTGTGCCGCGGATCGAGGATCGAGGATGGAGGATGGAGGATCGAGGGTGGAGATGCTTGGACGTCTTCGAGCTGATCTGTGCCGCGGTGCCGCCTTTCGGGTTTCCAGACCAGGACTTCGAAGCGAAGCGAGCCGTGGCGACCAGGGGCGGGCAGCTGCACGGGCAGATGCTCCTCCTCTGACTGTCAGGGCGACCCCGCTGACAGCGGCCTCACAGGAATCAAAACGAAACCAAGAATAGGAAAACATCGGTTGAGGATAAAGCGGAAATCTCTGAGATCCGGTGGCTCTAGAAGATGTATCGGGCGCCGCGGCCTTCCTAGAGCGTTCCGGAACGCTCTGAAGCCGCTCCGGAACGCTGTGGAAAGGATTTATCCTCGTCCCAGCCCCGTCCGAACAGTGTCGGGTTCTGGAACCCCTGAACTCAACAACGTTGTCACCTCTTGGGGGGCGCATCTAAAGGGAAATTAGGACACACAAATAAATACACACAAATAAACATAGTCCCCATATTTTCCCGTATTTTCTGGGTTTTTGTCTTCCCCCCAATTCCTATATTTTCCCATATTTTCCTGGGAATCGAGGATTAATTGTGTCTGTGTGTTTTTTCCCTCCTGAGCATCGTTTACTTCCGCCGCCTTCCGCCAGCCTTCTGCCGGCTTTCCGCCGGCGAAGGCGGCCTCGTCTCTTCTGAAAGCCTCTGCCGACCTTCCGCCGCCCCCCGCCGAAAAAAAAACGAGGGCAACTCCTTCGATCCTCGAAAGGGAAGCCCTCTTTGGAACGGCCTGAATGGGTCGGAGTAGTGGGAGCAACAGATTGAACATCATTTCTGGGGCGGACGAGTAACCAAGTAGTTTCGCGGGCCTTCGCGCCACCGCAATAGCGGGGGGGCGGGGCAAGCAGACGGAGGGCGGACAATCCCGGGTTGTCTGGAGACCCAGGGGGGGGGGGGCGGGCTGACAATTCAGGGCGTGGGGGCGGGGGGTCAATTCAGAGCCGGGCAGGCAAAAATTGGGAAGGACTTCGCGGGCTGACGATTCGAATCCGCAGGGACGGACAATTCGAGGCCGCGGGGAGTGTTTTTGGCCAGCCCTGAATGGGAAGTAGAAATATCTGATCCGCCAGTCCTGCGTGGAAGGCATACATTCTGCGCCGCCTTCAGACAGCGACCTCCTTCCCAACATCTTTCTGTTCTCCTCCCACTGCTCCTCCTCCTTCTCCTCCTCCTCCTCCTCCTCCTTCCTTTCTCTTTTACATCCCTTGTCACCTTCCCCCTGGTAGTTACTGCTTCTCTACCGTTAATCAATATGAATACTAATTCCCTGTCTCCCCTGATGCACTCTGGAAAACTGCCTGCACCCTTCCGCGTATTGCGTGTTTAAGTACACACGGGTTTGGCGCGAACCTGTTTCTCACAAGTATTTGTTTTTCAATCGGAGCGTGCTCGGCTCTTCCAAAATGCTGTTCCCGCTGTAACGCTGGCCTCATTTTCGAGCTTCCGCTCGGTTCGGATCCTCCCGTGTGAAATGAGCGAGTGTGTTGCTCATATATGTTGTTCAAACCGAACTTGTTCGGTTCTTCCGACACGCTGCTCCTGCGGCAGAGTTGCCGAAAGTTTCAAGCTCCAACCGCCGTCCGCGAGGACGACAACTGGGCCGTCCTCAGGTTGGTTCTTAAGTCGGGGATGACAAAAAAACTGCATGAACATACACCTTCGGCGGTCCTCCGTGGATTTCCTGGATCTGCGCTGGGACTCCCTAGCGGCGCTTCCAGCGCCCCCTCTCCGCAATCTTCCCCCCGCGGCCGCGGGTGATCAAACGAACGCAAGGTGACAAATAGAAGATCAGTTTTCGCAAGGCGGCAACATAAAACGCCAGGGGGGCAGACGATTAAACAAACAGTTTCCAGCGGCTGAATTGTATTAGTCTGCCCCACTCATTCATCTTGGGGCCCCCGAGACGGAGGGGGCATTTTCTGAATCGGTTGCCCCCATTAGAGTGGGTCCGAGGATCTCGCTGCATGGCCGATGCATCGGTGATGCATCCGCTATGTATGTGTGTATATAGATATGCATTTCCTCCCAGGGTGACGCTCGTCACCCAGACCTCCCGCCCTCCACCCTGATGCCGCTAACGATTAACAGGGGATGCGTCGACCCCTATCCCAGGCTCCGTGAGGTTTTCGAGAGGATCAACAATTTGGGGCCCAACCCTGGGATATACGAGGGGGGGGGCGTCCATCCTCGACAGGGGTGCGTCCGAATAGCTCCCTCGGGATGTATCCCAAGATTCCTCCCCTTTTCTGAGCGACCAAACTTTTCTGGCGGAAGTCGGGGATTGGGGGAGAGAAATCGCCTGCGAACGATCGTGCTCGGGGGGGGGGGGGACCTGGACACCTCGCTACATGCAGTGGTGCACACAAGCGATGTGATTGACGAGCCGTTGGCGCAGAGACACCCTGGCGGGTGCACGCCGCGGCCGCCCTTATACCATTATCCTCCCGCCCTACCAGTCCCGGGCTTTGTGGGCCCTGGAAACGGCAGGGCCGTTTTTTTTTTTACCGTTTCCAAACAAATGTCCCTTGAAAATGGAGCCAGCAAAAAAACGGCGACCGGAAACGGCAACAAAAACGGCTCCAGGATTGGAACCGGAGCCGGAACCGGTCAAACAACGGCGACGGAAACATTAACAAAACGGCAGAACGGAACCGGCAGCAAAAACGGCAGAACGGAACCGGTAAAAAAACGGCCCTGTCGTTTCCAGGGCCCACTAAGGTCCCGGGTATCGACCGCTACCTCTAAAACAGGGCTAGGATCGGGATAAATCGCTCCAGAGCGTTCCGGAGCGCTCTCAGAGCGTTCCGGAACGCTCTAGAGCGGCCGCGGCGCCCAATACATCCTCCAAACCCGCCGATTCTCAGAGATTTCGAGTCATCCCGATCTGATTTTGTCCCGACCTTCGCGTCGTCTTTGCCTCGGGGAAACACGGTCCCTCGAGCGAGGCCCAGCCCGCCGGGCCTGAGCCTGTCGATGTCCAGCACGCGCGTTCGCATGCAGGCTCCCGCCTGATTCGTCGCACCCTCGCAAATAGAAGATCAGTTTTCGCAAGGCGGCAAAATAAAAAGCCAGGGGGGAACACGATTAAACAACCAGTTTCCGGCGGCTGAATTGTATTAGTCTGCCCCACTCATTCATCTTGGGGCCCCCGAGACGGAGGGGGCATTTTCTGAATCGGTTGCCCCCATTAGAGTGGGTCCGAGGATCTCGCTGCATGGCCGATGCATCGGTGTTGCATCCGCTATGTATGTGTGTATATAGATATACATTTCCTCCCAGGGTGACGCTCGTCACCCAGACCTCCCGCCCTCCACCCTGATGCCGCTAACGATCGTGCTCGGGGGGGGGGGGGCCTGGACACCTCGCTACATGCAGTGGTGCACACAAGCGATGTGATTGACGAGCCGTTGGCGCAGAGACACCCTGGAGGGTGCACGCCGCAGAGACACCCTGGAGGAGACACCCTGGAGGGTGTATATAGATATACATTTCCTCCCAGGGTGAGGCCCCCTTTGGGCGAGGCCCCCTTTGGGGCCCCCTTTGGGCGAGGCCCAGCCCGCCGGGCCTGAGCCTGTCGATGTCCAGCAGGCCCAGCAGGCGCGGGGAGGGCGGCAGCACGAGGGTGCGGCCCGCGGCCTGGGCCAGCAGCGCAGCCGCCTCCCAGGCGCTGCGCTCGGCGCCTGCGAGTCGGCTGTGGGGGGGGGCCTCCTCCTCCTCCTCCTCCTCCTCCTCCTCCTCCTCCTCCTCCTGTTCCTCCTCCTCCTGTTCCTCCCCCCTCCTCCTCCTCCTCCTCCTCCTCCTCCTCCTCCTCCTCCTCCTCCTCCTCCTCCTCCTCCCAGTTGAGACAACGGCGGCCCTCCCGTCCAGCCCAGATCCATGCAGCATCGGCTGTCCCCGGGTTCCCCCCGAGGGTCGACCGTAGGGGGAAACTGGCTCCGGGAGGGGAGCAGCGACCCCGAATCCCAAAAGCTACTCGGTTCAAGTCTGGAAACCTCGGGTGGTCTTTAGTTTTCTGCGTCCCCCTCTGCTGCTCTCGGCGGGAGATGGGTTCCGCCCGTCCTCCTCCCGCTCCTGCTCCCATCGTGCGTCCCCGCTGCTGCTCCTCCTTTTCCTCCTCCTCCTCCTCCTCCTCCTCCTCCTCCTCCTCTTCCTCCTCTTCCTCCTGGTCGTTGTTGTGCGGCGGGTGTCGCGGAAAAACATATACCTTCCTGTATCGGTGGGACACCAGTCCGTCAATCAGGGCGCCGAAACGATAATCGTTTCCCGGTATTGGAAGGGTTTGTGGGCGTTCTGAAGACCGACCTATGTAAGTAACAAGCGCGGTGATAAACAACTGGGATACAACAAAAACGATGTTCAGTCCATGTGCACCGTGTACCCGACTATATAAATCGGGCATGGGAACCGATCACCAATTTCACATAACATCGTTTGGATCTAGAATTTGGACAGTGAGCAAATGCGGTCGCGCAGGAACTAAGCATCGCTCAAGCAGATCCCAATCCCCACTGGCGTGGCGTAGGCCGAAATGGGGATGTATGAACCACGGTCCCGCCCAGCCCTCCTTCCCCCCCCCCATCCAATGCTATTTTGATCCGCGCCCCAGCTGGACGGGCACGCCCGTGAGCCTCGCGAGGGCCTCGCGTATGCGATCGCCCCACAAATCCTTGGGGTCGTGACCGTGTGGGCATAGCCGTGGCCACACTGGCCGACCTACCAACATTGGTGCGAACGCGTGTCTGTTCCTTCTGGTCTCGCGGAGCCGATTCCCAGTGTGTACACGATACTCACAACATCCAAGACACAACTCCTGACGCTAGAGAAGCACATCAAAACATTGTATCCTTGCTATACCGTAGTTAGGTTTAGTCGCGAGTGGGTGCGTCCACCCTCCCGCCTAGCTGCGAGCCAAACGGCAACGGGAAACATTAAGCACGAGCGAGAGAGATCAACGGCAGAATCTCATTATCCTGTCAAGTCGCTTCTGAACTCATCTGCATACTAATCTGAATACCGCACAGGGAAACAGCGTTGCTGAAGACTGCACAGCACTTCGACAGCAAACGAAACCAGCAAACTTGTCAAGCATATTCTGCTGACAGGCCGGGACACCGAGCAACAGATCAAGATAGTGAAATCAAGATCTGGGCTTCTCACAGGTAGTTCCATCATATCACCATCGCTGGTATCATCCATCACGCCGTGTGGTAGCGGGCCTAAGCATTTTCTGCGCAGCTGCCTTAATGATCTGATATGCCACGTACGTCTTGATCGCCGGGCATAGATGGTATTCACGGCTCCCGCCGGCGTTAAACTTCAAACACCCCCCCCCCAGACAGTTCGCATGCTGCTTGTCCTTGTCGTAGATCTCCTTGAACGTCTTGTCCTTGTGCTTCCCACGCCTGATGCGCATTGAGACGTGCGGTCTCGCCCGGGTAGAATGGAACCTCCTGCGTAAACTCACAGTCGTACCTCGCGATCTGCAATTCCTCGCGCTTTGTCAGCCGCCCGGCCTTCTCAATCCTGGGGGAACGGAGACCTTCCCTCTGGAGCAGGCTGTCGCCGCTTGAAATGTCCAACTCCATTGGCATTGACATGCCAAGTTTTTGGTCGTTGTCCTGCTCCGGCTTCATTAGCTCTTTAGTAGGAATAATTCCAGCCACGACAGAAACTAGGCACTACCGTAGGGGCAATTGAAAGACTAACCCCGTGCACTGCAAGTCCTCTGCGCGGCGCTCTTCTCCATCGGGTCGTTGACCATCGCGTCGTCCATGTGGAATGCTAGGACGTCTTCGTGTCCGTCATGAACTTCGCCCTCATCGTCCCAGGTGCACTCATCCTTGTAGTCGCGCGCTTCCACGTGCCAGCGGATTCCCATCGTTCGTGTCCTCGGCGTCGTCGTCGTGCAGCTTCTGCTTAGCATGGTTTGCCATCTTTGCGTTGAGCTCGCCGACGTCCTTCGTTGCGGCCGCCTTCTCGGGCCCTGCCAACTTCCGCCCGCGCGCCGACGGCGCCCTTGAGTCGGGCCCCAGATTCCACTGGTTGGAGTTTACCACGAGCCTCGCGTAACCTCCTGGAGGTACCTTGGTCAAGCAGTCCGCAGCATTTGCTCGCTCTTGGCCCACCTGATGCTCGCCTCCTTGGGCGATTGTCGCAAGATGGCTGCTTTCCAGAGATAGCCGCGACCCGTCGTGGGGATCCTCTCCTTCGTCATCATGTTGCATAGGTTCTTGCAGTCCGTCTCAGAGATGCTTCACCAAACAGGTGTCGTGCGCAAGATCGGTGGCATCCATCTCGGGGTACAGGATCCCCGCCAGTGTAGACCGCGCCCGGATCAACATAGCCCACTGCGTCTGCACGCGAATATTCCTCCGCCGACAGAATTGATCGCACCACCCGTTGAATCTGGGAAAACTCTCATTCAATGCTGCGTCCCTCGCACTGGTTGCTCTGGTCCTCGTTGATCCTGAAGTCGCCCAACAGGATGAAGTGACCGCGCTGTGATCGGCGCTTCGGTAAGTTATCGAATGCATTGTCCGTTGCGTTGATCCCCATGCCCCCCCCCCCGCAGTTCGACGCCAGCAGGAGGCCGAATCAGCAGGTCGGTTCGCTTCAGAATCCAGCTCACTGCCGCGCCGCCACCCTGTCGCCGCCGGGTCTCACAGAGCAGTTGCCAGTCGAGGTGCCTCGAGAGCCTCTTCGAAGCAAGTCTTGCGCGCAGCCAGCTGCAACTGCCGCACCACCATTCGTAGTCCTCGATGTTCAGCTTGGGTCAGTTTGCTGTCTGGTGCTTTGCTGCGCTCACAGTGTATGCGTAAACTTTGCATCGGCTTCGCAGATTCCTCCATGGTAACGTCGATGCTCCCGTCCCTGGTCTGCTTGTAGGTCCTGCCACGAAATGTTTATTTCTCCGTCCTCGCGTACTTGACCTGGCCAAAGTCGATCTCCTCTTGTAAGTCCCCCGTGATATACGCGCCCTCTGGGTCGTCCTTCTTGACTCCCATGAGGAAGTCACCCACGCGCATGCACGTGATCCCAATGCTCTTACTCTGCTTGTTGCGCTTGATGGATGGCGCTGGCTCAAAGCGTAGGCCTCACAATCCGAACTTGATGCAAATCTCTCGTGGAGCGATGCGCCTCGCCCCCGCTGCGTCGCTGGCCCCGTGGATGCCCCTGCTCAACGCCAGCAGGTCTCCTGCCACCACGCCGAAGATATTGCACTTCCCCAGGTTCGCCGGGATCCGAAAGCGCAGCTCGCGCGCGATAGTTTGGTCTTGAAGAAAAGCTCCATTCGCGTCTGCGATGATCAGTTCCAAGTGGCGGCTCGATGCGACGCCGCGCAGTCGCAATGCCATTCGGGATGGAACTGTAGAAGACTGTCTCCTTCGCCTGTCGTCGAACTCCCCCTCGTATCCTCGGCCGCAGATCCTCGCCTACGGCTTCAAGGTCGCGGGGTCCTCGTCTGTTCAGACAACCTTGGGGCTTGGGATCTTGTCTGGGTCTATCTTCTCGGCGGCAGCTCCTGACGTGCGCGTTGCCGCATATTGCGTGCACCGTGTGTGTTCCAATCCTGTGCCACTGCCTTCTGCGTCGTCTCCCCTTCAGATTACCGTCGCCCAGAAACTTCACGTTGATATCCTGGTGCTCTTTGGCCCTGGGTCGCGCGCATCTGCTCGGCCGCGAACGCCTCGGCAAGTTGCGGCGCCCGCCGCGCGCTTGATTGGCCCACGTCGTCGCTTAGCTCGTCTATCTGGGTTATGCTCACCACGATTGGCGCCTGTGGCTTCGGTGGCATCTGGCGACGTAGGTTGACAAATGCGCTGGCGACCCCAGCTGTCACCCCCTGGTCCCCTCCTGCCATGACAGGAGCACTGTCGCTCGCGCCGATGAAAGTCATCGGTTATCCTCTCAGCCAGGCAGTTACTCAGCCGTCCTCGGTTTATCTGTCAAGAGTTATTGGACCTCCGCATCCGCACAGGCACGCGGTCACCACCGGCATCGCGCATCTGTCGGGCGCAGTTCCCCTTCCGCGCGGCACAAGCATCATTCTCAGTGGACTCCTCGCGCGAGCCGTTCTGCTTCGGCGGTGAAATCTCGCCGCGCGGACCGTCGCTTGCCCCTGCTCGCCATCCTGTCCGTGGCCGGGTAGGTTCGAATACACGAGGTAGTCTTCGACGCGCGCCCTGCGCGATCCCCCGAAGTTCTCGCGACGCGCCCCGCGCTTCCTGGCAGCGGTCACACGCGCAGTTGCGCAACCCAGTGAGCGCCATCTGCATCGCGATGCGCGCTGGACTTTCCACGCGGCATCTCGCCCAGTCAAAGCGCCGCCCCGCGCCGTCTAGATGGGCTTGCTGCGCATCGAGGCAACAGGCCCACGTGGCTGAGAGCTGCTTCGCCGTTTCCTTGATCCTTTGTAGATATGCCTCTGCGGTGCTCTCCTCTATATAGTCCGCCAAATCGCCCTCTCGTTCTGGCTCGCCGCGTGGCCGCGTTCTGCAGTCTGAATATGGGGTCGGATTTTCCTCCGACCCCTCGTGCACCATGAGCAACCCATCTTGTACTTGGTACTGATGATGGTCCCAGGCGTCGGTTACCCAGGGCTTCTCGATGTCCGTGCCACCTGCCGTCTCCGTCGTCGCGAGGCCGTTGATCTCTTTATTGGTCGCGCCCAAAGTGGCCA